ACATTTCCACTTGTGTAAGACAAAATATTTCAAGATCTTTCCTCTCTGAGCAACTACTTATACAGTAGTGAGCCATCATGGATTTTGACTGATCTCATCAAAGGACTTAGAGAGTCTCTCATTGTATTTCAGATGATCGTAGTTCTAAGGTTGGGTGTAAATAATTACGAACCATGGTGATATGTGTTTACATTTTGCTTGTCTATTTGTTTATGAATATGGTTTACTTGCTCATCAACTCACACCTGTGTGACTGTCTTTAGTATACCCAAGGGTTTATGTCTCTAAAAATGTATAAGGTTATTATTATGTAAAGTGGCCTAATAAAGTGTACTGACATACTTTTATTTGTTTCTTAAATGTGCCTTTAAAATATAAATAAGTGAAATTTTTTAAAGAATTTTAAAATTATTTCTTCCAGAATTATGTTTTTGGGATTCTGATCTTTCAGGACTTAAATGTTTGGTATTACACCATTCAGGATTATCTTTGTGGACTGTGACCCAAACCTGTGTGGCGTTAGAGACCTAGGCATAAATTCTAGTCTTATAGTTTATTAGTGGTGTTTTGTTTTTGTTTTTGTTTTTGCCTTTTCTCATGGAAACTTTTAGAATCATTGTTGTGAGCCAGACACTCTGCTAAAATCCATTAAGACAAGATTTTATATTTTTCTTCCAACAACATTGCAATAGCAAAGTTGCAATGATGTGTGTGTACAAGAGGACTGCAAAAGTTCATAGAAATTTGTGATTAAAAGATTTTGGTGCAAAAAAACGTTGAAATCCTTTAATAGGTTTTTACATGATACCCATTTCCCACAAATTTTAAAAGAACTCTTCATGTATGTATACATTCATTCTTTAATTTTGTTTTCGCCAAGTTTAAATATGAGAAAGCTAAGCTTTTATGGATTCCACACTCCAATCCACAGGAGAGGAGGGAAATCAGGACAGAGCTTATGCATATCACAGAGAGGTGCAGGAGCACACAGCTACAGAAACATACTCCAAAGAAGTAGGAAGAATTGTGTATGACTAAATATCAGAGCCAAGGTCCAAGAAGTAGGAGAAAATCAGGAAATACTTCCCCCTCTAAGGATCATAGCTCCTCACCAATGATGGATAAAACACAAGAGTTTGTAGAAATGTCAGAAAAAGAACTCAGGATATTGATTGTAAAAAACAAACAAACAAACAAACAAACAAACAAAAACTCAGTGAGATGCAAAATGCAAAGCTCAGTGAGACAACAAACAACCAATTCCAGGAGATGAGAAAATCCTTCCATGGCTTGAAGGAGGAACTCCACAACGAGATAGACACACTGAAAAAGAATCAAACAGAACTTCTGGAAATAAAGGTATGACACAGAAAATCGAAGCCTCCATTAAAAATATTGACAGCAGATTAGACCAGAAAGAATCTCTCACCTTTTTTTTTTTTTTTGGAGAGATTTTCACTATAGGGCGCGTGTGTTCGCCAGACAGACAGAGAGAGACATAGAGACAGAAAGCGAGAAATCACCCCCCAGGGGGGGGGGGATGGTCACGCCGCAATCCCTTCTCCTCCATTCTCCTCTCGGGATCTTGGGCACACACGCACATGCACCTGGCGTGAGTTTTAAGCCACCGGGTCTGGGATGTGAACCACAGTCGACTACGTGGGAGTCCAGCAACATAGCCATTATGCTAACTGCTGGTTCCAAGAATCTCTCATCTTGAAGACAAAACCTCCCTAAGCAACCAAAAAAGAATAGAACAACAATCATTAAAAATGAAGACAATATACAGGAAATCTTAGACACCATTAAATGGCTGAATATTCACATAATAGGTATTCAAGAAGGCAAAGAGACAGATAAAAGCATAGGAAACATCTTTCATAATATATTAGCTGAAAACTTTCCAAATTTAGAGAAGCATGCAGACACCCAAATCCAGGAAGACAGAGGACAACAATTAGATGTAATATAAGAAGACACTCTCCAAGGCATATCTTAGCCAAATTGGTAAAAATGAAAGACAAAGACAATATTCTAAAAATGGCAAGAGAGAAATGCCAAGTTACTTACAAAGGTTACCCCATTAGACTTATGCTGAAAGAATTCACCAAACAAAACTGGCTTTAAGCAACCGCACACCCCACTTTGACAGGCAACACACCTCATAGAGACCACCACAAAAAAGAAAATAAAAAAACTGGTTCTTCAGGAAAGTCTTATGCTACATCTGGAAAACTAAAGCAAGAAAAACAGAAGTAAGAGAATACAAAAGAACTAGAAAAAAATGAGTAAAACCACTAATTTTGATAGTAACATTGAATTTCGGGAATAAATTCCAATTAAAAGACTAAAAATGCAGCTTCTATTTTAGACACAAATAGCTAAATACAAATTCACCAGTTATTTGCTAGACAGTTGTCTCTAGATGTTTCAACTTATATATTTATTATAAAAACAGTATTCATTGTATAAACTAAATAGTGGAAAAGTGCAGATCGTTGCAAATAGCTGAGCCTTTCTTTGGAATGAATTTTTAAAAGGCTAAAATCAGGAACTGTGTAAAGCCTTTAAATCACCGAATCACTGGCTTTACCATGTCTTTGCTTTTAAACATTTCTTTCCAATTTTGTTTTTATTTTTTGTTTTTTTTTGAGGATTTATTTCCTTATGCACAGTACACTACTATGGTCTTACAAGAACAATCAGTGTGTGAGTAGAAGTGTTCTTTTTCTCTTTTCCTAATGAGGTATTGTTATGCACAATTTTACCTATCTCTAACTGGACCAATGATTGATACCCACACATTTGTCCCCATTATAAACTCTTATCTCCCACAGTCCTCTGTATGGAAATTACAAATTCTTCTTTCATCAGTTATGTTAAGACTATATCTGTTAATTTGTAAGATCTTTCATTGCCTGATTTTTAATCAATACGTTTTTCTTTAGAACTGAATCTTACAGTAAAGAATGTCATAAACAATTCAGTGCATACTTGCAGAATAACCATTGATGTGGGTTTAAAATGTTCACAATATAAAATAATGTTAGAAGTTGAAGGTGGTGAATATGTTCATATCTTTGATTTGTTTATTATTTTATTTTATTTTATTTGGAGAGGTTTTTGCTATAGGGCGTGTGTGCTCACCAGAAAGACAAGAGAGAGACAGAGAGACAGAAAGTGAGAAATCACCTCCACCACCCCCCACCCCAGGGGATGGCCATGCTCTGCAATCCCTTCTCCTCCATTCTCCTCTCAGGATCTTGGGCACGCATGCACACGTGTCCAGCATGAGTTTAAGCCACTGGGTGTGGGACTTGAATCACAGTCGACTACACGGGAGTCCAGCAACTGCTAGTCCCATCTTTGATTTGTTTACTACACACTGTATACATACTTCGAAAGACCATTATGTACCCTAAAAATGTGTAATTATATGTAAATAATAAATTATAATAAATATTTAAAGAGAATAAAAAAGAAAGGGAAAGACGATTTACACAACTCCTGACTAGCTGTGTGATATCATATCAGTAAGTCTTTTACCTCTCTTAGCCTCAGCATCTTCCTCTTTCTTAAAAAATGGTCATGGTGGTACCTTGCAGGCTAATGGGGGCTTGAATGAAATCATGGTCATTTGGAACCTAGTAGCATGCGTGGCATAATTCAGGTACAGATTAAAAACATGTAGCAATAGGAGGATGTCTTTACTATGGATGCTATAGATAGAAATCGACTCAATGACAAAGTCAGTGCCATACTTCTCTCTGTTCGCTATCAATCCCTACTTAGATGTTCTTGAGAACTGAAGCTGTATTTTCCTTTGAGTAAAGAAGGTGCAGCTGATTACAGTAGCACTTGGCACTGAGCTTTGAAGTGAATAGGTTCTCAGATGGTGTTGAATACAGTCCAAGAAGCACTGAATCCATATTTTGGTATCTCTTGCTAGTGCTGAATGAGATGGATGACTATGGTAACACCCCTCTGCACTGGGCTGCAGAAAAAAATCAAGTTGAAAGTGTTAAGTTTCTTCTCAGCAGAGGAGCTAACCCAAACCTCCGCAACAACAACATGATGGCGCCCCTACACATAGCTGTGCAGGCCACGCACAACGAAGTGATGAAGGTAAGGCTGCTGGCTGGCCGATGGGGGTTGGCAGTAAAAGCAGCTATTTCTGGTTCTCTCTGCCTGGGCCAGAATGGCCAACTTCAACTGCCAGCGCAAACGAAATGTAAAGATTATAATGTTACATTACAGTAACTGGTGATGGTGGTGGTGGTGGTGGTGATGATGATGAGATGATGATAGTGGTGGTGCCAATGATAGTCCAACCTCTATTTGATAGCCCTTGTTTGCTGAGCATTTTTCTAAAAGCTTTATGTGCTTTAGTTTATTAAATCTTGACTTAAAACAATGACTATGGGCCCAGACTTGGTGATACAGTTGGAAGCATACTGATCTGAAGTTCTGGACACCATCTGGCTCACCACAGATTCGGATCCTGAGTCAACCTGAAACATGTCAGGTGCATGTATGCTCAAGATCCTGACTAGCTGGAGTGCAGGAAGATGCCATTCTGCTAAGGGTGCCTGTCTCACCCTCCCTTCTTTTCTTTTTTCTCTCTCATGTGCATATGTACTTTTGGTCTCTCTCTCTTTCTCATAAAAGATATAAAATATATTTTTAAAAACCAACAACTTTGAAGAAAAAACTATTAGTGTCCCCATTTCATAGCTGAGTGAACTGAGGCACAGAGACAATAACTTATCTAATGTATAACTGGTGAAATCCAGAATTAGGATTTTATCCTCATCTTTATGTTTACATGTTCAGGCTTCACCACTTGTGTCTGATGGATTTAATGACTAAAAGGAGGAAGGTAAGTGCCTTAGTGAAGACACAAAGTCTAATTAGGATTTGCTGTTTTTGTCAAGAGTGGATGGCCTGTCAAAATAGTTAGCAGAGGAAGGATATAATGATACTATTGGGAAATGTCTTACTGGTTTTCAAGGTTTGAGGATGAGTTTGCACAAATAAAGGAAACCCTGGTAAATGTCTAAAAGATAAAATGCGTCTGGAAAGTCATGATGCATTTTTACATAGAAAAATATGTCATGACGTTCTTGACAACCTAATAAGGTGGGCCTTTAAACAACATCTCAGAGTCTCACAGACACACTAGAGAACATACGTGGTTGCTTAAAGAAGAGTGTAATTTACACATGGATCATGTTCTAAAGTGCACTTCTAATGTTGGATATTTGAAACATAAAAAGTTTTCCTGCAGAAACAATATTGTGGATGATTTCTTGGCCATTGTACTAAGCCACACCAAGACCTAATTATCTATTATAAATCACCGAAGAGATCCATGAACTCCAAGCTCTCTTTAGCCCAAAAACCTTTTAGTTCTCTGAGATCTTGGCTCCTTTCAGCCTGGCAGAGGGGGCACACAGAACTCCCTTTCTGCTTTCCCACTATTCTCTATATATAACTCTGTCGTAATTCTTAGCACATGATATTGTCATCAAATGTCCATGGGTTTTTCTTGCTCACTGGCGGGTTATCTTTGTAGGAGGGGCTGTGTCTTACTAATCTAAGTCAATCTAAACATATTTTCAAAACACGTTGGTTCACCATAGATGAGGAAATCAAATGGAAGAGGAGGGATTTTGGAGTGTCTCTCTCACATTTGCAAACAGTATCCTTCTGACATGCTCTCCCCATTATGCCAATAAGTTGGGCCAGCACCCACCAACCCTTGACAGTTTAGATTTCTTCATTGTTTGTTACTAGCCTTCCCTGGAATCTTCCACTGCTGCCCATGTGGTAGTAAATAAAAAAACTATCATCTATGTGCCACCTCAAGTTTTTACACAGTCGACCAACAGTATGCATAGTATTCCTTAGGCACATTGGCCAAAGGATTAGGAGGCAGCCTTAGTCTTTCCCACTTAATTTCAGAGTATCGAGTGTTTTGACCCTCCCTTGAGGAGTACTAGATTCTCATCAAGGAACCCTCTGGAGGGATCTGTGAGGCTTCAGACTTGCCTGGTCATGACTGAATCTGAAGTCAATGCACAGTCTAGTTGCTCTCTTTGGGACCCCCGCCACATATAATTTAACATAACTTTTTGCAGAATTCGGCAATGATAATAGCCTAATAAAGGATGTAAGTCTATTATGAGCTATGATTCTAGAGGACAAAGTGAAGTATCCCTTCTTACAGACTTTGGCAGGTCATTTTACCTGTGAATCTAGAGCTTTTTAAGAATAGAATGTGAAGGTACCTGAAGTCCATAGAAGGGCTCTCATTTTCCTTCATCCATTAATAATTTTCCTGTATTTTTCCAATGTACTAAGATCTCATTTTAATTTCTCTTTATGAGCAGAACTAACTAGTAAGCTGAATTCATTTGCTGACATTCACATTTGGACACATTTTATCAATAGTAGCAAGGGGCTCTGGTAGGAAGTTGTGTACTTTTCTAAAGTCAAGATTATTAAGAAACAATTTGTTCAATAAACTTTTTCTAAACAATTTAATTGTAAGTCCAAGTCATAGTTTAATCACATCGGTGCTGTAAGAAGAAAACCTCTAGTAGGCCAATTCAGGGAGTTCTCTCTTGAGAGAAATATTTATGAGATAATTTTTATTATATTGAATAAAAATAAAGACTGTTAAAGTTCTACAGACTCCTGGCCATAAATTAGTGGCAGTCAATCAGGTGAGACTAACAGATCTTTAATTGAATTCCATTAGAAAAAATTACTTGACCATTTCGTCAAGATGCTAGTTTCTTATATCATAGAGAAAGTTTCTCTTCCACACCAAGTCTGAAGTAATTGAATTAAACTATATCAAAGTGTTACATGGAAGTCTAGGTTCTCAACAGAAAAGAATGGAGGTTTTGTTGATATTTCTCAGAATGCTGATAATGTAGGTGAAAGACAAATGACTAAATGAAAAAAACCTCTTCTTCCTTTTTTTCCATTCCTCCTCCCCGATGCCAATGTTACTGATGGCTCCTCAAATTTTCTTTCTTTGTTGATATATATATATATATATATGAAAAGTATGTTAGACTAAGTCACTTGTTTTCTTTTGCACTATTTTAGAAAGGTTTCCGTTACATCGTGTAACTATTTTATTAACAATGTTTCTAAATATGGTAATTTATTTCTCCGTCCTCCAACCTTACTGAGAAATATGTAAACTCTTTTAAAAATAACTCTTGCCTTTCAAGATTTTAAATCATATAACATTTCCTGGTATAGTAGAATCTTACTGATATGAAACCATAATAGTCGAAGCTAATCATAACAAATACAGAGCGTGGATGAAAATTGTATATTAGTCCAAAGATATTACCATACCCATAATTATGAACAGATAATTTTCCATTTTTGTGTCCTTTAAGTATTTTGCTTCTCTCTCTCTTTCTTTTTTCCCCCCTTAGTTTCCTCCCTCTTACTCTCCCCCCTTTCCCACACCTCTCTCAGACTGTCTCTAGTATTCATAATTGCTCTCCATGCTTTTATACCCTCCAATCTTTCAGTTTCTGCCATAGAGTGCAGACATCCAGCATATATTGAGTGGGGACATACAATGTCTCTCTTTCATAGTCTGGCTTGCTTTGCTTAGCAATAAATCTTCCATATTCATCTACTTTTTATCAAATGCCAGGTAGTATTCCACAGTGTATAAATTCCTTTGTTGAAGATATTTAACACAACTCATTTAATGTGAGGAGTATTAAGTGAAACTCTGTTAACTATTATCTACAATTAGCATTCTTTTTCCAACTTCTCATCACAATAGTGCCTTAAAGGATGTGATATTGAAATCATTATTTCATCTACTTGACAAATTTACTTAGCACTCACTATGTGCAAGGTTTTATACAAGACTGTGTAGGAGAGAGATGAAAAAAGAACAAGACATGGTGCTTGATATCTGAGAACTTAAAATTTAGGACCTTCATTGATAACCTGCAATTTAAACATTTACAAATATTTCTCCTTTTGTGTAGGTCCTGACTGAGCACAGCAGCACTAATATTAATTTGGAAGGAGAAAGTGGAAACACAGCTGTGATGATCGCATGCTCCAAAGATAATAGTGAGGCACTGCAAATTTTGGTTTGTATATCAATCATATTTTTCTGCCTTTTTTTATCTTGTCATGAATAAGCATGAATTATTGTTATATAGAACAGCTCCTCAGTTTTTCTCCTTAGCAAAATATAAAATAGGTTACAAAAATAATCATTCTATGTATTTTTATATATGTAAACATCCCTTAATTCCTAAGTGGTTCTGAGATTATTTACAGAAACTAATAGTAAAGCATTAAAGAAAATGTGAGAAAATCAAAGTAAAAAGAAAATATAGGCAGAAAAATTTAGAATGAAGCTGGTGACCAGTCTAGACTACAAGATACAAAGTATGATGGCCTGTGCGTTAATAAAGCTGGGTCATATGCTTGACTCTGAGCTTCCAAATAGTCAAAGGAAAGATGAATATACTCAACTGCAGACTTAATGGGCCCATAAGATAAAAGCCAAAGAAACACCAACACTCTTATTTCCAAGATCAGAAAAATTAATTGCTGCCATGGTTTCTCAGAAAGTTAGCCCTGCGTAACTGAATTATTAAGGCGCTGAAAGTGCAGAGTCAGCCTACTCTTGGCTGAGTTCCTTGGGGTGCAGGCTACCCCTGTCTAAATATCTAAATAACTCTGGCCCTGCCCAAGTGTACACATAAAATGGCAGGAAATCACTCTCTTTAAAATATTCCTTAATCACTTGCATGTTATCCAGCCCGAGTTCTGTATTTTTACCATATGATTTTGCCTTTTCACCTTCCTAGAGAGTGGGAAAATAAAACAGAAGAATTTCAAAATATTTATCTGATATTTAAATATACAAAGGTTTTTTTTAACATATTTTCCAGATGTATTAAGAGACAAATACAAAGGGACTTAAAACAATTTGCTGAAGAACGGAATTAAAGTATGAATATATTTTGGGTGCAAAAAATCTTTGGATGTTTAAAACACTTGTACATTTTGCCATAATATGAATTTTCCGTGAACTTTTGAAGACCTGTATATGTATTCTCTAAGCTGTTTATAATTGGACCAAAAAAATATATATAATAAGGAAAATAAAAATAAACTAGCACTCATTTCAAGAATTAGACAAAACTTTAAAAAAAATATAAAAAAGAAAATTTGAATAAAGAAACAGTAATGTTGAAAACACTTTAGAAAACAACATATTTTTAAAGCCTTATTTCTTTACAAATATAATATTTATGTGTACACTGTGATCATACTGTTCAAAGAAGCTTTTACTTAAGAGTCCTTAGTAATATGATTTTATGAGGAACATCTTCTATTTTGGGGTGCATATAACTATATATAACTACATATATATAATATATATATATTATATATATACACAAAAAAATGTGGTAC